TGACGGGCAACTGGTAGCCTGGCCCCAGGACACTGTCGAGCCTCCAACCAGGCGCCGATGGCTCGCCCAGCGCCTCCGCTCCTGGGAGCCTCGTACTCGCAGCACCTGAGGTAGCCCCAGTCGCGGAACATGTGGCGCCCTCTGCCCTAGCCACCGCGCTGGAGTCGGCGACCCCAGCGGATAAGGCGTAGGGTGAGTCTGGCGGCCGAGAAGGAGTTGCCGAACTCCCAGTCCAAGCCCCAGTAGGACTCGAGGTGGTCTCCGCAGCTCCAGGCCTCTGCACGGCGACCCCCAACCTGGCCAGCACCGCCCGCGCCAGCCCCAGAAAAGGCGCCCAGTCTGGCGGCTCGCGCCGTGGGCCCACAGGCCGCTGCGCTGGCAGCGTGCGCGCCGCTTTGTGCACCAGCCTGCGCTCGGGGAGCCCCCTCACGCTCAGCTGCAGGCGCACGGGCCAGTGGGGCGCCAAGGCCGTGTCCAGCCTGCTGCAGCCCTTGACCATGCCGCCCAGGCCGCTCGATACCACGAAGTAGTCGATCTCCGAGCCCGAGCCGACGCGACAGGTCGGCACGCCCGGCGCCACCACCATGCCGTCGACCTCCTGGGGCCAGCCCCACGCCTCCAGCTCCTGGGGCTTGCAGTTCCAGTCGCCGCCGATGACGTAGGGCACCTGCACGTAGGCCAAGTACTCACCCAGCTGCCCCAGGATGAGCTTCGACTCCGCGTCGAGGCCCTTGGCAGCCACCAGGTACACCGACACCGCCAGGAAGCCGCCAGGCACTCCGCAGTTGACCCAGCGCGCGATCACGCGGTCCTTGGGCAGCTTGGGCCCCTTGGGAGCCTGGCCCATGCCGATGTGGGCACGGACGCCGACGCCCACACCGCTGGAGAGGCCGCCCTTGTCGGTGCGCACCGACTCGTTGAAGGCCACCTTCCAGCCCTCTCGGCGGCAGGCCTGCTCGACCTCGGCCGCCGCTCCTGGGGCCACGCCCACCTCCTGCAGGAAGACCACGTCGGCCGTGGCGTCCTGCTGCAGCCATCGCATCATGCTGCCGCGCGCCGTGGTGTTGGCCGTGTCCAGCCGCCAGGCGCCAACCTCACGCCTGGTCAGCGCCAGCCGCCGCCTGGCCTCCACCGTCGCCGCGGGCGCGCTTGGCCTCGGGGAGGTCGAGGCCGACGGCCTGGCACGCCTCCTCGAACTTGCGGCGGTTCTCGCCCTCGAGCTTGTCCACCTGGTCGAAGAAGGTGTGGCCGCTCCCTTCTTCTGCTGCTGCCGCGCCAGTGGCCTGGCCCCGCTCGCCGTCTGCACCAGCATCAGCAGCAGCACCAGCAGCAGACGCGTCGCCCGTGCCCATGGGCTCGTCCTCGTCCGCCTTGCACTCAGCTGACGCAAGCTCGGCACGGATGGCGTCGACCTTGCGCTGCAGGGCGCCTCGCGCGGCCTCGATGGTCCCTGCGTCGGCACCATAGCCATCGAGCGAGCCCAGCGCCTCCAGGCTGGTGACCGCCTTGGCCAGCTCGGCAGCGCGGGCCGAGCTGCAGCCAGGCGGCAGCCCCGTCTTCTCCATCTGCTTGGCCAGCTCCAGCTGCTCGCGGCCCTCAGTCTGGCGCTTGCGGGCCACGTCCAGCGCCACAGTCGCCTCGTCCAGCGCGGCCTTCGCGAGCCGCACTCGCTCGGTGGCCTCGACGTGCTCCGCCGCCCTCGCCGCCGCCTGCTTGTCCAGCTTCTGCAAACGCCAGATGCAGTTCTGCAGGGCGTCGGAGTAGGTCTTCGGCTTGGGCGCGCGCGGCGCCTCCTTGGGCGGGGCCAGCTTGGCGCGGTCCTCCTCGCCCACGACCACGCCCTTGGACGCCAGGTGCTCCAGGAAGGAGGCGACGTCCGCCTCGCTGAAGCCCGTGCTGGGCGGGGCCTGAGCTGGCGCCTCAGCGCTGGCCGCGGCGTCGCCAGTCGGGGCACGAGCGTCCCTACCGACGGCCTTGGCCTTGCCCTTGCCCTTGCCCTTGCTTCCGCCTGCTGGCTGCGCACTCGGCTGCACGCCGCCAGCGTTGGCCAACGCCAGCTGGCGCACCGAGAGCGGTGCCGCTCGCCCACAAGTGCGGCACGCCAGCCTGCAGGCCCAGTTCCCATCGGTGCCGCAGGCGCAGCCCCAGGCCGGCTTGCGGGGCCCCGGCAGGACGACGGCCGCCGAGGGCGGCGGGCGCTGCCAGGGCGCGGGCGTCGGCCCTGCGCCAGCGCTGCGAAACCCGCGAGCGCCGCCGCCGCCGCCGCCGCCTCCCCACGCTGCGAGGCGCGGCGCATGCTGCGGCGCCCCGCTGGGAGCCATCGCGGAAGCCCAAATGTGTACGGAATGATTCCCTCTCTCGCGGCCAGATTGGCACGCACGAACGCGCCGCTCTGAAGTACGTTCGTGCAAGACCCCCCCCTTCTCCTCAGGAAGAGCCCAGAACGGCTCTCCTCCTCCTCCTCCTCCTTCTCCGCCTCCTCCTCCTCTTCCGCCTCCTC